CTGACGAAAGCTGTGTGTAGCTCCTCAACTCCTTGGGTTTTGCTCTTTCGTGTACGTCTCGCCATGTTCATGGTACCTGTACAGGTAGACGCGCTATCGATCCAGGTCAGCGCCAGTAGACCGTCGGAGAGATTTACAGAAGGTAGGATGAGGCATATCTCCACTAGGTGTGTCAAGGTACGAGTGACTTGTGTGGATGTATGAATGAAGAAAGACTCACGACCTTGCGTGCTTGCTCATCGATGTCTGACGTTCCGGAGCTACCAGGCCACGAGGAAAACAAGTCCGCGCCTTCCCTGAGTCAGCCACAGCCCATCCAATCACCACGCAGTACCTGACGACTCCGCATTCCAGGCCCTCGATTTTCCTCCACATTCCGCGTCGGCGCTGTTCCGCCCTCCCGCGTCAAGATGCCGACGCAACCCATACTAGAGCTTCCCGAGGCTGCTGCGACGATGCTTGGGTATACAGATATCCGGGAGCGCTCCAATTCTCCCCACAGTGATTTGTTATCTACACCTCCACAGTCTGTGAGTTGAGCGCTGCATATCATATATCGGAAGTCTGGAAGTTTGTATACTTGCGCAAAGCCCAGCCCAGCATGCCGTCAATATCCCTCACACTGCGCACTGCGCGCACCTTTTCGCGAAGCACAACAAAAGTCATTCAACCTTCTCTTGTTACTCTCCGTCGGCTGCTAACACTGACAGACATACCTCAACCTCTCGCGCTCCTTCTCCTCGTCTCTGCGCCGCAATGAGATCAACAAGGTCTACCCGAGTGCCGCAGCGGCTATCGAAGACATGGCCTCTGACAGTACGCTGCTATGCGGAGGCTTCGGACTTTCAGGCGTCCCAGACACGCTTATCCACCAAGTAAAGAGCACACAACACATCACAGGCCTGACCGCCGTATCCAACAATGCCGGCATCGTTGGAGGAGGCCTCGGCCTGCTACTCGAAAGCAAGCAAGTCAAGAAGATGATTGCGAGCTACGTAGGCGAAAACAAAGTGCTCGAGCAAATGTACCTCACCGGCGAGCTAGAACTCGAACTCACACCGCAAGGCACCCTCGCCGAGCGATGTAGAGCAGGCGGCGCCGGCATCCCAGCCTTCTACACACCCGCCGCCTTTGGCACCGTCGTGCAAACCGGCGAACTAGCCCTCAAGCACAACAGCGACGGCAGCGTAGCCCAATACTCCACACCGCGCGACGTCAAAGTCTTCGCAGGCAAGAGCTACGTAATGGAAGAGAGCATCAAAGGCGACTACGCCTTCATCAAAGCCTACAAAGCCGACCGCCTAGGCAACGTACAGTTCCGCTTCTCTGCCCAAAACTTCAACGGCGCCATGGCCCGCAACGCAACCACTACAATCGTAGAAGCGGAGCACATCGTCGAGCCCGGCGAGATCCCTCCCAACGCCGTCCACGTCCCTGGTATCTACATCGACCGCGTAATCCAATCAACGGCGGAAAAGAAGATCGAAAAAGTCGTCAACGCAAAGGACCCCAAAGAAGCCGTCTCCGCCCTCGGCGCCGGCGACGCAGCCTCGAAACGCGAACGCATCGTGCGCCGCGCGGCGAAGGAATTCAAGAACGGCATGTACGCCAACCTAGGCATCGGCATGCCCATGCTAGCCCCTTCCTTCGTAGACCCCTCCGTGGAAGTCCAACTTCAGTCTGAAAACGGCATCTTGGGTCTAGGTCCATACCCGCAAAAGGGCCTCGAAGACCCTGACCTTATCAACGCGGGCAAAGAAACTGTGACTTTACTCCCCGGCGCGTCCTGCTTTGGCTCCGAAGAGAGTTTTGGTATGATCCGTGCGGGAAAGATCGATCTAACTATCCTCGGTGCCATGCAAGTGAGTGCGAGGGGTGACTTGGCGAATTGGATGTTGCCCGGTAAGGTCAAGGGATTCGGCGGTGCGATGGATTTGGTCAGTAATCCGGAGAAGACGAAGGTGGTTGTTACCATGGAGCATACGGATAAGAAGGGGAGGCCCAAAATTCTGAAGCAGTGCGAGTTCCCGCTTACGGGTAAGGCGTGTGTGAGCAGGATTATTACGGATTTGGTGAGTACCCCTCTTCTCCTTTTGGGTTGTTTGAATTAGAAACTAATGATTGCGTAGTGCGTGTTTGATGTCGACTTTACAGAGGGACTGACGCTTATTGAGCTTGCGGATGGTGTGACCGTAGATGAAGTGCGGTCGAAGACTGGTGCGGATTTCAAGGAGGCAGCAGAGATCAAGCCGATGCTGTAGGAGACATGTGGTCTTCACACTCGCACAAAATACCAATGTCGTTTTTCTGCACAGATGATGCACGTCTATTCCAAAACCCCTAGCCCGCTATGAGACAAGTACGCAAACTAAGCCTATTGATAATGCAAACACCGCAACCCACTACGTACAACCATCCTACTCCGTCCTCGTCTTCAAACTACCACTCGCCCCATCAACAGCGGGATCGTAGTCGCTTCCAGCCTTCAAACTCTTACTCCTTGACGGTACCATTGAAGGATTAGCCTCCTTCAACGGATCCACCTCAGCAGCCTCGATATCACTGTCCTCACCATCAATACCCGCCTCACGCCTCCGCCTCTGACGCTCCAGCCACTCCTCGTCGTCCTCATCCTCGCTATCATCCTCACCAACAACACCATACCTGCCTTCACTACCGCTACCACTACCATGCTCAGGGTCCTTGATAAAGTTATCAATGATCCAGTACTGCAGCGCATTCATAATCAACGGGAAGATGAACATGACGAAAGTGATTTGCAGTGCGGTGTTTCCTTCTGTCCAGCGCAGTGCCCAGTCTCCAACCCATGCGATCCAGGGGAGGAAGGCGAAGATGGCGAGAACGCACAGTTTCATGCCGATGAGGCCGAGGAAGTAGATTATGGATTGCTTGAGCCACCAGGTTGCGCGGGGTGGTTGGCCGTAGTTGCCGCTGCGGATGGACTCTGGGGGGTTGGCTAGCGGGGTTTTGGCGAATGCGGCGTGGAGGACCTTGAGGAGGAGCACGAGGATTGGAATACCGATTGTGGTCTGGCATCGTTAGTTACTGATTGCAGATGTTCGTGGGAATGAACTTACGTCGATGGCCAGGTTGAGGAGGTAGAACGAGCACGGATTCGGCTGGTCACCTTCCTCGTTGGTTCCAGCATACTTCGTTGTCGCGCTGGTTGTTGCTGCTACGTCAAATTTGCCGGAGGACAGCATGGACATCAGGACGTTTGCCAGATGCAACAGAACCGAGCCAAAGACCTGCTTGGAAACATCGAAGAACCAGATCTTTATGGGCCGTCGCGGAGACTCCCTCAGCCTCTTGATTGCGAGAGAAGATACGGCGAGTAGTCCAAGGAAACCTTGTACAATCAGTGCAAAGTTTCCAAGGAGGTTGCACTCGCCCTTGTCGCTCTCGCCATCCATCGGGTTTCCTTGTGCGGCTACAGCTTTGCTAGGCTCGGCGGCTGGTACTGCTGTCTTCTCAGGCTTGGTCTCTGCCGGAGTAGCTTCAGACGAGGGTGTAGATGTCGGTCTGGGTACGTTTTCGGGCGCGGCTTCTTCGTCGTTGGCATTGACGTTGTCATCCGTAATACCAGTCGGTGTCGGTGTCGGTGTCGCAGGGGCAGCCTTCGAAGGCTCAACAGGTTTCGCAGGTTCCTTTTCCACGCCGTCGATGCCCATAAGCTCGGTCTCAAAAACTGCACGCACCATTAGCCAGACCCAAACTCTCCGCATAAAGCAAACATACCCAGCGTTGATCCCGCAGGAATCTTATCACCCATAGCGTGGTTCCCATACGCCAGCCCAGGCGGGATGACCAACTTCCTGGCCTCTCCAATACACATATCCAGCAGACCCTGATCCCAGCCCTTGATCACCTGGCCCTTGCCAATCGTGAATGTAAACGGTGCGCCACGGTCGTAGCTCGAGTCAAACTTGCTGCCATCGCTCTGCAGCGTGCCCTTGTACATCATCGACACTTTGTCGCCCTTCTGAGTCTTGCGCGTACATTCCGCCGGTCTGGTGACTTGGACTTCGAGATCCTGCGCGAAAGCAAGCGAAGGTAACAGCGCGAGGGGGAGCGCAAGGAGGGAGGTGAGGAGCCGCATGGCAGGCGGCAGTAAAGCGACGTGATGTCGCGGTCGCGGTCGAACAAGAAAAGCGAATGCGGTATTGCGCGTGAGGTAGGAGGTAGAGAGGCAAGAAGCAGTGCGAGTTAATAAGCCACGATGAGGCTGATTACTGTACCGTACTGCAGGACTTTCGGGGCTTCTGAAACCTGCGTCGTGCGAAACGAAGCGCTTAACGCTCGCAAGTGCGGACGTTTGCCCGAAACAGATGTGCCGGCGTGTAAACGGCGAGAGAGGGGAGAGAAGGGGGTCTGACGGTCAACGCCAGATGTGGATGTGCCAGGTGGTTGTGGCAGGTGTTCTCGACGTGCATGGCCACATGAGGTAACTGCGGCCAAGGGTCCTAGATTGTCCCGCCGATCCCCGAAATGCCTCCGCGGTAGTCGATTGGTTGTCCTCGCCTTGGATCTCAAGCTACAAGATGCACTACAGGACGTAGTACCGAACAACTACCTTGGATTATCCGCCCCATACAAGGAAGAACCTGAATTTGAACAGGTGCGCTGTCGTCTACATCAGGACGAGACCTAAAGTTTCCTATATTCCAAGACGACGTAGGATTCTAGCAGGTAGGGTGTTGAACTTTTCACGTTTGTACAGTGCGCACCACTCTTTAAGATTATCATTGTTGAAACACACGAAATAGATATTGATATGATAGTACATAGCGAATGTGGTTCAGATGCAGTCTCAAGGAAAGGGTATAGTAATCCCACGGCACGGCAGCATTCGCGCACCCGCCTTCCAAAACTTCCCAAGTCTCCTGAACGCCTGATGATGCTGACAAAAAAGTGCGATGAAATACCCAACAATACACACGCTGAAATCCAGAATGATTTGCTTGCTACACACATGTATGCTACTCAGTGTCCCGTGCAGTCTTGATCGGACTTGCTCTCGCCGGGCTCTCAGATACGGATGCCCCGCTTAGCCCGGGCGCAAGTTGGAGACTGTTGCGTACGATGCCTTGTCCTGGCCGCACGACGACGCTGCCTCTTCGGTCGCGCTCCAATGGATCCACGGTGTTGACGGGCGCATACGTCTCCTGATTCTGGAGATGTGCGTTCATCCGCGCCTCTTCTCTCATCTTCTTGATCTTCATGTAGTTGTATGCCGCGATGCTGCCAATCGTGACGACAAGCCCAGTCAGGTTGATGGGCGTAAGGGGGTCCTTGAATACAAGGTTCGCAGTCCCAATCGTGACGACCTCTTTGAAAATGCCACAAATGCTAAGGGTGACGACTGAAGTGCGCTTCAGCAGAGCGAATTCGGAGGCGGTCATAAGAAAGGCGAGGACGCCCGGGAACAAAAGAATGCCAATGCCGAGGCCGGCGCCCCTGGCTTCGAAAAGTTGTGAAAGACCCTCCATGAGCGCGGGGAAGCCTTCCACGGGTATCGCGAGAATGAGTATGCTGATGAACATGACGGGTGCGAGGAAAAAGATGGAGGAAAATGGGTTCGCTGTCGCGGGGTTGCGAAGGAGCAGGATCTGGGTCAGCGACCAGCGGAAGCCGGACGAGCAGGCCGAGACCATGACGAGGATGAAGCCGAGGGTGTGGAAGGCAGCCTCGCCGGCTACCATCATGACGACACCGCAGGTCATGATGAGTATGATGAATACGAGTCGCCAGGAGGGTTGTTCGAGGCGGAAGAGGAAGGCAAAGATGAGGACGAAGCCGAGTGCAGATGACTTGCACATAGCTGTTGCTGTTAGTTGTAATCGCAGAAAGGAGAGGTCATCCCTTACTGAAAAATGTCAACGAGATGAACTTCAAGCTCGTGTTGCCCAGGCCAATGTCCATGCCAGTGGCTGCACCACACGGCCCGAGTCTGCTGAAGTAGAACCACTTGGTCATGAGCGGCTTCTTGGGGTCGACCGGCTCTACGCGCGAGCCGGCAGCGTGTGGGTTAAGGGAATCGTGTCGCGGTCGGAGGGAGGGTATTAGGAATAGGACGAGCGACGCGAGCGTAAACTGGACTATCATATGCAGACATGTCGTAAATAGCGGAAAGGGAAAGATGTTCTTGGTCTCGCCGTCGCCCTTGGCTTCCTTGAACATCCACTTGTTGTAGACGGATATGGATATCGAGAAGAGGTACCTGGGGCTGTCAGCGCGTGTCAACCGTACTCCTATTGACGTTGTACCATAGACATATCAGAACTCCATTGACTAGCATCGATTTGAGCAAGTTCTGGTCGGCGAGCTTCTTCTCCTCCTTTGTGTATGTATCATCCGGCACGATGCGCTGGTCGAGCAGCGTGTTCCGCCTCTTTCTTCTCCGGCGTCTCCGCCTGTCGCGCTTGGTGAGGCCCGTCTCCTCGTCGTCTTCGAGCCCGTCGGCGCTCATGTCGTCGTCGTCGGCGCTGTCACTGGACTCTGAGTCGGAGCGGTCTGCACCCGAGGAGGACTCCTCTCCTTCTTCGGCAATGTGGTCGGAACGGCGGCGGCGGTGTTTCTTCAGGTCTGTCTTGGTGGGCAGGGTGGCGCCGGCGAGCGAGGAGGAACGTCTGCGAGCGGCCGTGTGCTCATCCGTCATGGTAGGGGTGGGCGGGTGGATGAGTTTCGCAATGTTGGTGCGGTGCGAGACTCTGCGGCCGTCATCCGAAGCCAGGTCGGAGAGGGAGCTGGCGGAGGGCAGGGAGGGCAGTGTTCTCAGAGGAAATTCATTCCCCGGACTAAGCAGCGGGCCTTGTTGTGTAGCGGTGTCCTGCAACTGCAGCCAGCGAGTTATCCGGGCCCCCTCTGAAGTCATGCTGCTCGACGGCGTGCACCTGATTCGCTTTAGCCTGGTCGCCAAGCCGAGAAGGAGGAAGACCCGCCAGCTGGCCCGGTTTCCTAGCAGTGCTAGCAGCGGGCTAGCATCAGGGGCTTAGCGGGAAGATGCGTCAAGGGATGCTTCAACGCGACAGAAGGATGCAGGTACAGACAGACAGACGCGACAATATCACGCCCGCTGCCGCAGCGCGCGACGTTTTGATTGTTACGGCCTGCACTCTGTGACACCGGCTTGGCCGGCTCTTCAGACGGCGCACCAAGCAGCGGCCAATCACCACCACGTGTCATAATTAGTTGTTAAGCGGGGAAGCTCGCCGCGGGAGATCCACCAGGTGATGAAGATGGAGTCTAGACGCCTGCCAGCCGAGATGCCGACTACTGCACGCGACCACTTGGTATGCATCAGAACATATGTCATGGAAAATGCACATGTTGGACTGTCCAACACCCACAACCTGCAATCCCTTTGTTGACTATTTTTGGTCCAAGAGTGCCTACATGCTTTTGGAAAAGCATGACGCTGACGACCCGACTTCCGAACCCAATGCACTGCGGGCCCTGCATCTGCAGTCCGCCCTGCATGCCAACCTTCCATCGATGAAAAATGTGCCGATCACTGCGCCGACCACGGAAAACTCCAAGGATATCCAACCTCGAACGCCATCAGATGCGAGTCTAAACAGAGAAAACGTGTGACTATGTCGGTGTCGGCGGCATTACTGGTGCTGAGGGCAGCTGTTCGATCTGCCGGATCAAGAAGCTCTTCTCGTCGATGAACTGCTCGTCCTCTGTCCGATCGTCTAGGAACGACGGCAGGAAGCGCAGTAGCTTCTCCCGGTTGCTGATAAGGATGCGTTGCACTGCGACTGATTTATTCGGGTTGGCAACAAACACCTGCGTCTGTTAACATGCGCACATCCTCTGACACTTATCATGACTAACCTTGAAGACGTGGAAGCCCTCGTAGTTGATCATCTTCCTGTCGTCCCGCAGCAACTTCATGATGATCTTGAGATGCTCCCCCGAATCCACATATTGCGTCATAACGTTGTAGTTCGCCCGGTCGAGAAGAATCTCGCCCAGAAGCTTGATCGACTGGCGCTTCGTCACATAGCTCTCCGACTGGACCAGCATCGAGTTGTATTTCGAGAAGAAGGCGTCGAAGTTCGTTTGGAGGAACGTAGCCACTAATGGCTTGTGCTTTGTCAGGATTTCCTATCGCATGTTAGCCCTTGAAATACCATACCCATCTAACCAACCTACCCTGAATGTGTTGAATGCGTCTGCGCTGACTTCGAATGCGCCCTTGTCTATCCACCCAAAGAATTTCCAGAAGACACCATTGCCGGTGGCTGGTAGATCCGGGTTCACGTTGCCCAAGTCGAGCGTCTGGCCATCCTCCATTGGCTCGTCGTAGAGCAGCAGCGCAGCAATCGCATCGTATTTGAGTGCCTCGCGCAGAATGCCACCACATGGCATGGCGCTTTCCCGCCTATCGTAGCCTCGACATAGCGCTATTATGATATCCGGTCGGTATGCGACGACGTGCTCTAGGACTTGTGGTGTGGCCTGCCCGGCGGGCTTGTAGCGGAATGCGGTCGAGAATATGACCTGGGCGTCTTTTCGTGATTCGAATGGGAGCTTGTGGATGTTGATTGCTAGCGCGTAGAGTAGGTCTTCGTTTAGGATACTCGTGAGCAGCTGGAAGACAGCCTCGGGATTTACTTCTGTGTCTTTGGCACGTCAGTATACTCTCTACTATGTCGTAAGAGACGAACGCACCGGGTGTGCCCTGAAGCCTAATCTTCATCTGCTGCAGGTCTAGTGCTAGTCCTTCCTCCAGCTATCACATGTCAGAAATGTCTCCCAAGCGCTGCACTGCAGTCGGCTGGTCGCACCTTGGGGTTGGGTTTATCCTCCTGTCCTAGCCGCAACGTAAGCTCTTTGATGGAGCGGGTAAGCTCGAGGTTGTTCTTCTGCTTGTTTCGGAATAGGAACGCCATGTTGAGGGGGCTCGGAAGTTTTGCAGGGCGGGGATCGAGGTGCGATGGCGGCGGTGCTATGAGGGGCTGCGATTTGAGGCCAGGGCCGGGAAGCTGCTATCTTGACGGCGACAACATACAGGCGACGGTAGGGGAATATGGCTTGGGCTCCGAGGGCGGTTATGGCATACAGGGGGCCAATGCGGTTGTTGTCCTGTCTCTGCTCTGCCCTGGTGATGCTGTTGCTTGTGAATGGCCCGAGGATCAACCCTGCCTGCCCGGCTAGTGCACCCTGCGCTGACTTGTACTTCCACTCGCCCACAGTTGGTTACCCGTATTGGAACTAACTTTTCAGTGGATGGCTAACAAGAATTAATTATATCACTATTTCAATTATATACGGAAAGATTTCGTCATGCTAATGACAGTATGTTCAACGCGCGCGGAATTGCCCCGCTCCTCCACATCGCGTCTTGACGCGAATATCCCAGACCAACAACCAGACCTATGCTCACGACGAAAAGTAGGCATGCTCTAGGACCTGATAAAAAGTTAGCCATGTCTTCAAGTCTGGCCTCTCGTCTCACCTTGGATGCACTCATTCTCGAGCCACTCTCGTATTTGACTAGACTGCCAACAAGATCTCGTTCTTGCTCTGACAGGCTCGGCAGCAACACCGACCAATCCTGGGGCGGGTACTCGTAGAACTGGACCTTGCCCCAGTCGCGGAAACCCGCAGCCTCCTGCTTCAATCAGCAAGAGTTCGGGTAAGCCAGACGCATAAACCTACCGGCCAGACCTCCAAGTTCGGAGTTCCTAGCTTCTTGAAGACGCTCTGTATCAAGGCCAGGTCACTTCCTAATTCTCCCGAATCGAACAGTGTCTCGTGACTGGGATCGAGTGCTTCGGCAACTGTGCAACCAGCAGCCCACAAATCCAAGCTGCAGCCGTACTTCTGGTTCCCAAACAGCAGCTCTGGCGGTCGGTAGCAGGTAGTACCAACGTCGGTAATCTTCGCATCCGCTGCTTCTGGACCCGGTGCTTCGGGCGCCCACGCGATGCCGAAGTCGGAAAGATATGCTGGTCCGTCGAGGGATTTCAAGAGTATATTGGAAGGCTTGATGTCGCGATGTATTATCCCCTTGCCATGGATGTCGGCTAGGGCGGTGAAGAGGTCTTTCAAGCACGACTTGATCTGGCTCTTGGACAGCTTCTTGTCCCGCAGTAGGTCGTTGAAGTCGTGGCGCACGAATGGGAAGACCAGAACGAAGTGGCTTCCATTTTCGCGGAAAGTCTCTATGAGAGGGATGACCCGCTCTGATGCCGCCATGGCCAGAATCTTGGCCTCTCGCTGTGAGTCGTGCGGTTGCTCCATTACCGATGGTGTAGTGATCTTCAGAGCCACGACATTGGTCTTGGTGGGTGACTTGGTGGGAAAGTAGCTTTCATTTCCAACTGCAGGCGCTTTGTAGATGACGGAGAAGAGACCTTCGCGATGGTACAGTGCATTCTGATACTTGCCAACCGGTTTGCCGCCGGGTGTTGGGACATAGTCTTCGTCCTAGGATACGAATTAGTTGATTTGTGGTTTTTAGTATGGCAACTGCTGACCTCTGGTGTTGGAAAGTCGAGTGACGGTCTGGGCAGATTTGTTATCTTGTCATTGCACAATCTGTCGTAGTCGTCCTGCGACATGGTTAAAATGGAATCATAAAGCACCATATTGATATGTACCAGAGAGCGGGCGTCTGCGTAGATTGTCGTCTCAGCTACAGTGGCCTTTTTCCGAGCGTCGTCTGCCGACAGAGAAGGGTCCGCTGCCTGGAAGGCTGATGTCCTGCAATAATGTTAGTTTTGAATTTCCATGTTCCACGCGTGCTGATTGGGCCAGATCGTCTTTTTCCATCGAAGATCGCGATCAAGCAAGTATGCCATTCACATGGTCGGGCCCTGTTCCGGACTAGAATGTACCAGGTTCCCTAGCGTGACGGTATAAACATGTTACCTGCATTTTTGTGACAGCCATCAGGCGGGCAGTGAAGCCCAAGCTCGCTCGCCAGTCCGAGGAAGCCATGTGGCGCGATTACTCAGACGCAGAAGTCGAGGTAGGAGACATGTAGCGGTGTCGCCAGGCAAGAGAAGGAGACCAGTCGCCCCGACTCAGCGTCCGCCACTGCCCAAGCCCGCGCGGTCGGTGCCCAAAGGCAGCATGGCCATGGTCACAGAGGTCAATATTATGCAATCACTCGACACGTTCTGGCGCGTCTCAGAATCTTCACCAAGGCCCCGACTGGGTCAGGGGAGGCATCTCGAGGTTTAGTCGTTTCCCAGGTTACGTCAGACTCCCGGACGCAACCGCGGTGGACTAGGCCGAAAGCGACGAGCCCCAAGCCATGACAGCCAGCGCAGTTGTGACAGCTCCACGACTCCCGACCAGCCCGCCGAGCTGCCTCTCCATGTAAATAGCCCGAATCGCTTCTCTGTGGCTGTGCGCCCGTCCCCCGCATTCCTCGCCATGGAGCTCCAACGCAAAGAATACCCGGCATTGCTGGTGAGAGTGCCTCGATGCTGCCCTCCCAACTTCTTCGGCTCACCCCATGTATAGACATCGCTGTCGCCCACCCAGGCCGTGACGGTCCTCGACACCCGCATGAGACATGTCGGCCAGCTCAACACCCACATTGCCGACTGGCTGCAGGTGCGTCCGGCCCAGCTGCCGCGCATTGCCATCCACACGTGCTCACCAATGCGCAGGAACGCCGTCGCGTCGAAGAACAATACGTCACCGGCCTGCGCAAGCTCGCAAACAGACATCCTCCCGACGAGTCCTCGGACCTGGGGTATGCACCCGTCCCATTCGTCTCATAGCGCACCAGCTAACACGGCCAGCATCTTCGCGACGCCCTGGCAGAAGATCGTGAGCGCAACCGAGTCCATCGCCGCATCGCATGCGCATCTGGCCTCCCGGATCGAGGCCGACGTCGAACGACCCCTTCGCGACTTCTCTGCCAACAACCGGGATGTGCAGGGCTTCGGCAACATCCAGGGGAACCTCTCGGCAATCGCAAAAGACATCGACACGGCGCAGAAGAAGCAAAGCAAGCTTCGTGATAAGGGATCGAAGGCCAAAGCTTCCGCCGTTGCCGACGCCGTGCAGGATATCGAGAAGGCGGAGCTGCAATGGGACTCGCAGGCACCCTACGTCTTCGAGCAGCTCCAGGCCATTGACGAGACCCGCCTGAACCACCTGCGTGATGTGCTCACGCAATTCCAAACGCATGAGGTAGACCAGGTAGAGCGGAGTAGAACTACCGCCGAAGAGACACTGAATGCCATGCTGAACATTGAAACCGCCGATGAAATACAAACCTGGGCGTTGCGAATGCGGAGCGGAGATGCACCCCAGCCTTCGCGGAAACCAAGCAACCCACCAACTCCCTCGCGCACCCTAGCACCCCCAGCTTCTGGACCAACATCCCCTACCGCAGTTGATGACAACCGGAGCCAGAAGAGTGGCTCTGTGCCGGAGAAACACAGCTCCAACCCTCTCAAGCGATTCGGCACGGTATTGGGGAGGAGGAGACAGAGTGCGCATCCGTACGGCCGAGCGCAATCACCAGAGCGACAATCTTCCTCAAACCTGGGCTCGGCATTTAGTGGATTTGGCAAGGGCAAATCGAAAAAGGGTGACAACCAGGGCTCATCGCTGCCCCCTACTGCGGAACGCCCGATATCACCTCTGCGACAATCGCAGAGACCCAGTACTTCTCAAAGATCCGATTCCCAAAGCATTACCCGCCAGGCCAGCACTGATGTTGCGCCTAATGGCCCCACACCCGAGTCGACCGTGGAGACAGATGCACCAGCCGCCGTCAATGGCACTGCACCAGTCCAAGAGTCCATACCAGAGCTCAAAGAGCCACTACCGCCGCCACCAGTTACGGAGACGCAGCCAGAACCCGAAAAAGATGCCGAGGGTTTCTCTGTGCCTCCATCAGCTCTTGATGCCATCACCGAAGCCGAGAGAGAAGCAGGCTTGTAAGATGACCATACACACGACAGTCTACTCAGCTAACGATTAACAGGGCACAAAATGACGGCAACGCACCACCCCAGTTTAAGCTCGACATTAGGAATGCCCCCATTCAAGAGGAAGATGGAGATGCTGATGCGGCTACCGCCAACCTGGTCAACATGCTGCGCACAGTAAGTAATAGCAAAGGTGTCTTCAATCCTATACTAACACCCATACAGCAAGCTGCCCAGCCGAAGCGGTCAAGCACGTTGCGCGGTCGCCGAGATGTTCGTAACACGATATTCGTACCAAACCCCGCAGCACCCGAGCTCCAAAGCATAGGCGAAGTGCCTCCACTCCCAACGAGCGATTCTGGTCTCGCTTCTGGCCCCGGTTCAGCAACATTCCCTGCCCCTGCTATTCCTCCCCAACCTGCATCTCCAGCTTTCAAGCCTCCCCATCGCGCATTGCTGTCAGACGACCACCCAGCATCGGATACGCAATCCATTCGATCGGGCCGATCGCTAAGCAGCTCCGCTAGCACCACGATCAGGCATCCGGACCTGCATGAACCAGGGCTCAATGCGTCGCTAGTGGAGACCGTCAGCGCCTGGTTCGAGCAGGGTAACGTTACCAAGGCCATGGTAATCGGGCAGGTCGCGCTCGCGTACAACCCCGTCGATGTCTCTGCCGGTCCATTGGGCACCGAGAGCATACGTCTGGAGAACTTCCCCGTGCTCGAGAAGGTAGCGCCCAACCCTGCCTTCATCGAGCAGTCAACAGATAGCCCAGGCAACTACACCGTTGACCTATCGAAGATTATGAAGACATCAGTGGCCTTCCACTACCAGCTTCACATCGAAGACAGCAACATAGCATCCCTCCCACCACTCATGCTGTCACCAGCCTGGAAGTCAGAACTCACGCAAACCTCGGCCATCCTCAACTACTCCCTAAACCCCCGATTCGAACTCGGCGGCGCAACCAGCATCACCATCCGCAACCTCGTCCTCGTAATCCGCCTTGAACCCGGGTCCAAAGCAACATCCTGCCAATCGAAACCCACGGGTACCTTCTCGCGCGACAAAGGCCTCATCTACTGGCGTCTAGGCGACGTAACCCTCTTCAAAGACTCCGCCCCCCAAACCCTCCGCGCCCGCTTCATCACCGACGGCCAAGCCAAACCTGGTAACACAGAGGCCCGCTGGGAGATCAGCGACGAGCAGTCTTTGACTCTAGGTAGCGGGCTAGGCGTTAGCATGAGTGCGCCTCTCAACGCGAAGAAGGACGATGGCGAAGCAGATCCGTTTGCGGACGCAGAGGAGAATGCGCCGCCTAGTCCGGCGATTGGCTGGAAGCCTGTCGCCACTGTTAAGAAGATTACCAGCGGGACTTATCTGGGTGTGTAGATGGAGAAGGATGTTGTTTTGAATAATGGGCAGGAGGAGGAAGAGGTGGAAGTGTAGATGCACGTACGAAGATGTTAATTACCCCAATCTATTTAGACTACCTGCTATTTTCTTTGTGTATGTGTGTGGGATGGATTTTGGGAACGTGTTGCTCTTTTGTAAATAGGTTGGGTATGCGAATGCAGTCTTGATATCCCATCGGAGATATTGTGTTGACTTTCTTTCTTTCCGTAGTCCTTATCTGTTGTACGGTGTGAGCTACTTTAAATCATCGGTATTAGTTGCTTTTGTTCCGCCTCTTAAGCAATACCTGCTCTGTGGTTTATCCCAGACGTGTGATGGTCTCCGTCTTTGCTTACGGGTTAAAGCAATGATTGGAGCAATGATGGCCAGTAGTTGCGATTGATCATCCAAGGAGGTGCCTTGCAAGAAGCCGGGCTACAGAACCAACGATACCCTCATACACATTGATATCCTACCACCCGATATACCAACCAGAATTACCCACTCCGTCACATCCATAGTGTGATCGCACCCCACCCCCCATGTTCCTCACAACCCTCTCCCAGGCCAGGCCTCACATACGATCAATCTCCCTCAGCAACTCCCTCCTACCCGTCTCTCTCATGACCTCCAACTCCGCTGCGAGTATAAGCAAAGTAGCCTGGAAGCAAAGTGCCCACAAGATCTTGAAACCTAAATGCAACTCCCAAGTCGCCAGCGCCCCAGTCGTCATCAAACACACGGCAACCATGAACGCCTGACGCCTCTCAGAGCACGTACGAAAAACATGATGCGTCGAAGCAAAGGTAAACAGATCGCGCGAAGCCGATCGAATGGGCAGCGGGACTGTGCTTTTGATATCGACAAGCGGACCGGTAACGTTGTCGTCAAAGTACACGTGCGTCCGCATGCGTGCGTAAGTGTATACAGCCAGAGTGACGAAGAGGAGGATGGTCAAGATCTCCGAGTTGTTGATGTAAGCAGTGTAGGGAGCGTCGACGTGGAAGTATCGGAACCAGATGACATGGATTGCGTTGTCAACGAGGTGGATGTACGACAAGCGAACTGCAATGTCGCGCCATGGCCGGAAGATGAGGCTGTAGAGGAAGTAGAGCATGTCGGTTGGGTCGTCCGTCTTTTCAGAAGTGAAGGTCCATACTGGGTCGCCGCCTCGGTTGTGCACGGTACGGGTCTCTTCGCGGAAGTAGTAATCGTCGTAGAAACCGAGGTAGCTCCAGCTCCAGTATCTGCTTTCGACTAGAAGCCATAGCCAGAAGATCTTGCCGACGGAGTTGGAGTTCCAGACCAAGCTTGACCAGTTGGGTTGGGTGCTCCAGCCGGAGAAGATAGACATGACCCGGATGACGGTGGTGATGAGGAAGTGGAGCCAGAATGTGCCTTGCAGCAGACATCGGAGTCTGTTACGGTAGGCGATGAGACTGTATAGGAGCGTGGCGCCGACAAAGATGTAGAAGGCTGGCCAGCCGCGATGCGTAGGTGTTTCGAAGACGTGTCGGTTGAACGGGCACTCAGGATACGATGTTCGCATCTCGCCTGGAGCATTCCAGTAGCAGACTGCATACGTGCCTGGGTAATTGTTCCTGAGAGCTATTGCGGTGTACACCAACAGTCCGGGTGGTGCGCAAA